ACTCTCTACTAGTTAATATGCCCAAAATTACGCTGATTCGTGGGTTCTTTTTCTAAACTTGTTCAATTATAATTATGAATGGTTTGAATGTCAACTGCGACATAAATATTGCCTGTAAAGGAAAAAAAATATCCTACTAGTATATTAGCTGTAAAGTGCACAGGATTCTCAGTCACCCCATTTTACGTTGACCATAACCATGATATCGTGGAACTGCAGACATTTCTATTTTCTACTAGAAAATTTCAGATCCAGACTCCATAAATCCACAATGTAGTAACACCGACGCAAACGGTCAACGACAACTTGCAGAGAATAGCAAAGGCCAAATTAAGGATTCTGTACTTTATGCCTTAAATGCATAACACTGAAAATCCAAGCTTGTTAGTCGGCATGACAGCATCATTTACATGTTTATATTGCTACATGCATTTACCATTTATGATCAGTTGACAACTTTCTAGTCCTCTGCCGACCATATTAAGGCACCAATTATTCTTTAATTCTCTAAGAAAGACCAGATACTAATTAACTAAAACATAAAATTTTAATATATTTTGTAATAAAATTTTTCATCTTTAAATTCTTCAACAGTATATTTAAAACAAATTAATTAATATTTATCTTTAAGAAATATAATTTTGATTAAAAATAAGTTTTTAAGATACAATTAAGTAAAGTTGACTATATGAATCATATAATCCGTTGATATTTATACAAATTTTTTATTATCATTTTTTTATTTTTATATATAATATATTGAATAAAGAAATAAAAAATTAAAAATATGTATCGTACAGAGTAGAAAAATCGTCTAATATTAATTATTTAAATATTTTAAACCATTTAGAATTTATATTCAATGGATTTTAATTTATGCAAATGCATCGAATAAAAAGTCAATATAACATATATAATATTTTTGTCATTATTTTTAAAAATAAATTAGGATTATCAAACCAAAATACTAAAAAGTATTTACTTTTTGTCAAAAATTTTTATTTCTTAAATAAGTAAGTAACTTTTTTAATTATAATAAATATTTCATATTTGTTTAAAATGCCATGCTTTTATAACACTAAAATAGCAAGTGAAGTAACTGTCAAAGTTCGCACATTTTATTTGGTAAAAAGTAAACACATTTAAAAGAAATAGGAATTTGAAAATTAATACTACATATTTCTTTTTTAAAACGCCGTACAAGATCAAACAAAATCCGTTATTCATAATATATAAATGTTTTGAAACGGAGAGTACGTTTAAGGTTAGTGGGATGAAGCTGTCCTCCATTGGGTCATTCAGCTTTCATGTGAACCTTTTATGTTCGGATTCTGCCTCTGATACCTTCAAGCTTTCATTTTCCTTTCGCAAATTTCAACATTGTATGGCTACACTCTGTTTTCCATTTTCTGCAGAGCACTAACTGGGAGTGCCAGAATAAGAAAGTTGGGCATATTTCTTATGTAAGCTTCACATTTTATTTTATTTTTAATAAAGTTGGCTTGTCTTAACGTATATTTAGAAACATGTTAAAAATTATGTAAATATAAATTAGAAAAAGTATTAAAATAAACATAAATTTATTATCATTTTCCAAACTCGTGCTCAATAAACCGTGCTTGGATAAGATGGTCAAACCCAAAACGCTGTTACTTTTGAATCAGAGCGAGGGATTTGGTGGCATGGTGGGTGCGATCGAAGAAAACAAAGGCATGCACAAGTGGATCTGATCCAATGTCTGCTGCACATTTAAGGATATGTTTGGATTTACAATTGGCGTGAGTGAAATAACAATTGGAATTTTAAGCGCGCGTTTTTTGCTTTTTAATCTTGAAATGTTTGATTTTGCGTTTGTAATAATGTTTTTTAAATCTCAAATTGATTCTGAGTTGAAATTAGTTTTGGAATTTTTTTTTATCTTAAATTGATAATTTATATTAAATTTTCGTACAATATTTAGATAAAATTAAATACAAGATCTCTTTTTTAGTTTTTTTTAATTAAAATAAATGTATAACATCAAAATAATATAATTAAAATCAAACCATTACGTCAAGTGTTTTTAGCTCATGAAAATGTAAAAAGCTCATCATGTTGTGATGCCTTTTTTTTTTTTCTTTTTAATTTAGATAGATCATTATGTCCAAGTGTTTAAGCAAGGGGTTCATAATTTTGGTTCGTCATTTTCATTTTATAACGAATAGCTGATTCATTGGTTCATAGTTAATAGTTAAGAGCATATTTATATTATGCTAGAGTAAGTTTTTCTATTTTTTTTTTCAAGTTTTTGGTTATTATAAAGGTCATGTTAGGAATAGTTGTGAGTATTTAATTTTTATTATGAAAAAATTATTTATTTCTTTCATATATTTTTTAAAAAACCATATACACTACTAGAACACTTATCACTCATTAATTAATTTTTATTATATTTTTGTTTTCACTTTCATATATAATCATTATTGTTACGATGCAAACATTGTTACTGGTTATCTTGTCGCCATTACTACTATTATTTAAATTGTTATCTCTATCAATGTCACTCTCCTGCTAATTGGCACTCTATCTATTATCGTATAGTTGACATGCAACTCGATGAATCGATGAAATAAAAAGAACTTTTTTTTTTTGGAGAAATAAAGAGGGGTGGGTGAATGTGAACATATGAGTCAAAGTTTTAAATTAAACATAAACAAATTATTTTATTTTCTTATCAAATTAAATAATAACTAATATTTGCATGGTGTTGATAAGAGTACGTAGTTAAGAAAATAATTAGAAATCATACTATATATATATATATATATATATATATAGATTATAATAAAAATGTTTTATTTGTAGAGAACCTATATTTAGCATATGTCATTTTCAATTAATAACTATTAGTTGGCATTGGTCAAAATTATTTAATGGGAGCACAAAATAATCAATGTACTTTAAGACATAACTGCACCTGGAGAGAAAAATCATATAATTTCACCGTTTTATTACATGTTTATCTTTAATTGGTCAATAAGCTGTGTTTATAATTTCATCGTTTTTATTACACATTTTAGATTTTTAAAATAATGATTTTTAAAAAATATAAAGTTAGATATCACTGTGATGAATTTCTATTATAATAGTGTGTGTGGACTACAACTTTTTTTTATTCATTTAAATATTTAAAGAGAAATTATAAGTAAATCCTTTTACTCATTTGAAGAATTTAAAACAATATAAAAATCATAAAATATAAATACATTTTATTCTAAAAAAAAGGTTAAATACGAGTTAAAAAAAAATACAAGACTACAGATATATATTTTCATTTATAGTTAGATAAGAACATTCTACAATGATCATTTTATTTTAATCTAATTTTAAAGGTAATTAGCAAACTATATCCTTATAGTTTGTTAAAATAATTGATTGACGTTGACATGAGTTACATACGTTCGTTTCTCTTTCATGGCCATCATTATCAATTCAACACAGCCACAAAACCAATAGATAAGCCTAGAACTTATATTGAATGCCCTTAATAAGGAGAGTGACTCGATTGCTTTATAAAAAAAATGCATTCATAACTTAGATAGAAATTATAATAATTACCTGCACCTGTTCTTGTGGTCCTGTTGTTACGAATGCGTTTCTGCAGTTTCTTTTTGATAGGGTTATAGTTACTTAAACGTACATAAACCATTTGGGTGTAGGGAGCAAGTCAGGGTTTAAATAAAGTTATAGGCTTAATGATCCTTTGTTATTCTTTAGGTTGCATGTACTTCAAATAAAAAAATTAAAAAATATAATAAATATAATAGATAATGTAAGAAAATATAAAGTAAACATAATAATTGATGTATAAAATAAATTAGGTGTATGTCGTGATACTCTAAAATATTTTTATAGGTATTATATTTAAAAGATTATACTAATAAATATTAATTAATGTCTTTGAGACAATAATTAGTAAGATACTTTGTTTATTTAATTTTTGTGAAAATGAAGCACATAGTTCAAAGAACTTTCGACAATTGGAATAAAAATATTTAGTAAAATATGTATGAATACAAGTATTGATTATATTATATTTCTTAACCTATAGATTATTCTTCTAAATTGATATATAATGAAAAATAAATAAATATACTTTCTAATATGATCTTCGCTATTATCTTTGTTTACATATTAGTTTTTTTTTAATATTGTTTTTCCTATTTCTTTCTTATTCATAATAAATGTGTAAAATATGTAAGAGATAGATAGAGAAAGAACGAAATAGTCGTATTTTATAGCATCTGCCTCCATATGGTTACTTTATAGTAATTTTCATTAATAATTCTCTTGACATTGCACGCCGAATTAATATGATTGTGATAATGTGATGTTCACAAGCCATTATGAATATCTCTAAGCTTATAAGAAAAAAAAATCTCTAATCTGCTAATGTGTTAATAGCAAAATGACAAGTGGCAATGTACGCAAGCCATCATGAACTTCTGTATTATGGCAGCGCTGTCGTGCATATATTAGGATATGTTACCGTGAAAATATCGCCAAAAAGACCAATTGACAAATTTTTTGGGGTAAAACCTTATAAAAGTTATGTGCAAAAAGTTCGGTGTAATATCATATATAAATACTTTATAATTTTTAAACTAAATTAGAGTTTAATTTTAAATTTTTAAGTATTAAAAATTGATATATATTATTAAAATAAAATTTAAATTTTTATTAAAAAATCATACTAAAAACATTTATGATTCTATATTTAAGTTTTATTGATAATATAATGCCAAAATTTTTGTCATTGCAAAATGAAATTTCACGTTAAAGACGAGAGAAAGAGGTGATGGAAGTGGTACACTCCTAATACCGGCACCGTGTGTGTGTGTTTTTTTATCATTTAAATGTCTAATGCCGGCATTGTCATTGAATTTCACATTATGTCCGCGTGAATTTAATGCTCCTAACGAAAATATATATCCCCAACCATAAAAGTAATAAAGCATGATCTTTTCTCTTCCTTATCACTATTATATATACTTTTGTTCAGTGCAGAAGTTCCTCATCATCCACTCACTTTCACTGATCACAGCACCCCACATAGTTTTAGCTTCATTTCTTGCTTGAATGGCATCTGGGGAGCTTATTACTATGAATTGGATTATGAATATAGGGGCAGTGGTAGTAGTGGTTTTGGGTTTGTGGTGTGGGGTGGGAGAAGCACAACAACAAGTACCTTGTTACTTTATTTTTGGGGACTCTTTGGTGGATAATGGTAACAACAACCAACTCACATCTTTGGCCAAAGCAAATTACCTCCCTTATGGGATTGATTTTCCTGCTGGCCCAACTGGAAGGTTTTCCAATGGCAAAACTACTGTTGATGTAGTCGGTGAGTTTTGTTTACGAGTTCATTTAAAGTTTTTCGCAGTTGCTTATTCTAAAAAAATATATTATTTAATAAGTTGTTTAAAGACATTATAAGAATGGATATAATTTAGCATCAGTGTAATAGTTCTTTCACTTGCATGCTTGTGCAATCACTACAGGTCAATAGTCATAATGATTAATGACACTTTTTGTTAGTGTTTTTTTTTTAAAGAAAACATTTTTTAAAAAAATTTTCTTAAATAAATTAACTAATCCAAAATCACCCAAATGTAGTCATAAAATGTGCTATTCAGGCTTTATTAACTGATTAAGATTTTATGTTTGCTATTTATTAATTGGCGTATTATTTTTGCACGTGTTTATATTGTTTTCATGTTCTCAAACCGATCAGATGGGTATATTAAGTGCAACTTATATATCCATGCACTCAATTTCTATTGTGTAATCCATGATGGATTACCTTTAATGGTTCATTGGATGATAATTATGATGCAATATTTATGATAAATTCAAACAAGAAATTCCCCTCCACAACCTATTTTAATACTCTTTTTATTTATTAATTTTGACAAATTTTGATGTGTCTTAAAAATATTGGTTAAAAAATAAAAAATAAAAAATCTTACAAAAAGTATGATTAATATATTTTTAGTGTGATTTTAATATATTAACAATTTTTAAATAATTATTTATTTATTAATTTCGTAACCAATATTTTTTAAGTACTTAGTTAACAAAACTCATTAACTTAAAAAAAATTACTTATATATTTATTCAAAAGTTTAAGATATTATTATTTTTTATTACATTCCTAGTTTTATGTAACTCTTAAATACGTCATATACGTGTCATAAATAAGAAAATAATAATAAAAGTTATATTATAAAGTTTAAAGTCATTTTAAAATAAAAAGAGAAATTTTTTACGTTTTGTAATCTATGTGTGATTCTTGTAAGTGGACAAATAATAAGAAATGCAATACCTTTAAGACTCAACTTTAACTCAATTAGAATAAATAAATCAATAAACAGTCTTATTAATTAATGCCTTTAGAGTATATTAAAATTCATAATAAGAATATAATAAAAACACTTTTTTTTTTATTTTTTCTTAACAAAAAGTATTGATCAGTATTTATCTTAAATAAAATGATTTTATTAATATCAATCTTTAGTGCTAGTTTCAAATAAAAAGTAGTAAGTTATTACAAAAGAAATTATTTATCATATTTTTATATCCTTGGTATAACTTATTTTCTAATCAAAATATAATGCTTTTAATTATTAAAAATAGGCGATGATGATATTTTCCTAAATAAAAAGTCGTGGAAACCTTTGAATAAAGAGAGAACAAAGCAAAAACTGTGCATTTGGCACTTCTCCATTTGTTATACTCCACTTTAATTGTTTGCCTACCCCTTAAACAGCAAGCACATGCTTTGTTGGATTGCATTAAATTTGAAATTTAATGCAGCTTGGTTCCTTTGAGTAAGAGCTAAATTGTAGAACAGCAAGTATAGAAAGAAATGCTAGCAAGATAGAAAAATAACTGACTCAGATATTTATTAATCAGAAAAGCTGATTTAATAAAAAGAAAAAAAGAAGGAGCTATTATGGTAGAAATTGATTCTTCAATAATAGTTTTATATTCATGTAATCATTCATATGAAAGTCTTTTACTCATGTTTATCACTTTCTCTTGAAATTTAACAGCTGAGCTTTTGGGGTTCAATGGTTACGTACGTCCCTATTCAACAGCTAGAGGCCGAGACATACTCAGTGGAGTCAATTATGCTTCTGCAGCTGCTGGAATTAGAGAAGAAACTGGACAGCAACTGGTACTTTTTTAAAAGAAAAATTGGTTCTATGTCACATAATCTTTTTTTTTTCTTTCCATTAATTTGGTAACCATATGGTTAATGTGTATATAATATTAATTTTATTTTGTACTTTGTAGGGAGCACGTATCAGTTTTAGAGGGCAGGTGCAAAATTACCAAAGGACAGTGTCCCAGATAGTAAATATACTTGGAGATGAGAACAGAACTGCAAATTACCTGAGCCAGTGCATTTATTCAATTGGATTGGGTAGCAATGATTACCTTAACAACTATTTCATGCCTCTTGTTTATTCTACCAGCAGGCAATACACACCACAGCAGTATGCTAATGTTCTTATTCAAGCATATGCTCAACAACTCAGGGTTAGTCTTTGCTTCTCTCTCATTTCCCCTTTCACTCTTTCATAATATCAATTGCTTTAACTAGCCATATTTTTGTTACAAAGTACAAAAATAATAGTAGCAGTAGTAATGAAAAAAACAGCGATAAAAAAATGATTATAGTTTGAATTTGTGCCAATTAGAAGCTCCAAAGGTTCATACATTAGAATGAATTTTAGTACACAACTTAATCAAACATTTGTTTAATAAATTCTTTTTAAATAAAGATTTGTCATAAATTCTTAATAAGTTAAAAAGAGTTTATAAAAATATCTTCTTCTTTTTTTTTTTATAAATTATCGATGAACTCTTTCAAATGGATCTAAAGACTTAATTTTGTGTTTTGTGATTCAGATTATGTACAACTATGGAGCAAGGAAAATGGCATTATTTGGGGTTGGTCAAATAGGATGCAGCCCTAATGAATTGGCCCAAAACAGCCCAGACGGTAGAACATGTGTGGCAAGAATCAATTCTGCAAACCAATTGTTCAACAACGGATTGAAATCTCTTGTTGATCAACTCAACAACCAGCTGCCAGATGCAAGATTCATCTATGTAAACGTTTATGGTATTTTTCAAGATATCATAAGCAACCCATCATCCTATGGTAATTATTCTCTGCCCACAACATTTGTTTGTCAAATATTGGAAATATATATATATATATATATATATATAGTTCATGTCATGCTCATTTTGTTCCCATGTGATCTTCAATTTTCAGGTTTCAGAGTGACAAATGCTGGGTGTTGTGGGATAGGAAGGAACAATGGTCAAATTACATGTTTGCCCCTGCAGCCCCCATGCAGGAACAGGAAGGAATACTTGTTTTGGGATGCTTTTCATCCAACTGAAACAGCCAATACTATTATTGGTAGGAGAGCTTACAATGCTCAATCTTCATCGGATACTTACCCTATTGATATCAATCGCTTAGCTCAGATATGAAGAGAGGGTCTTGCAGTGGCAATAAGCTGTGCCACTAGTACTGTCTTTGTAATGTGGTGTTTTGTTTTAAGGCATGTAAGAGTAGTAACTACTCTTTTTCTCTTTTTTGTGTTCTCAAGTCTAAGTGTAATTTGTCAAAAATTTTGGTTAAGGCTCGCATGTTGATAGCCAATAATTCCTATTGGCTGATTATATTTTCCTCCAAAATTAATAAAATGAAATCATTTGCTTTCAGCAGACTTCTTAAAAAAATATGTAAAAATGGAAATATTAGCTGAAAATAATGTATTGGTCCCGTTATTTTTCACTCTCTTTTCACTTTTTAGTAAATGTTAAACACTTACACATAAAGTAAGGAGAGACAGTAAAAGAGGTTCTTTTGTAGTAAGTATAAAAATTAAGTACAGTCAAATTCGCAGTGAATCAAGCACCAGAACAAATATTAAAATTTATGTAAAAAAAAAGCACAAGATATAATGCAGATATTATAGATATACAGTTTGATAAACACACACACACATTTTATAAATTTAATATTGGCAAATAAATTTTAGATTAATATTTCTGTAATATTTTATAAATTTAGTATTATCTCAGCATATTAGCAAAAAAAATTTTTCAATTTCATTTGAACAAAGGAAAATTTTCATTTGATCTGTGATAAATAAGTGAGAGGAGAATTTTGTTGTTTAGAAATGAGGTAACTTAACTTGGTTAAGGGTAGGGTGATAATTCAATCTATTTATTTAGTAATTATTTAATTTATTCATGTTAAAATTTAAATCATTTATTCAATCATAAAAGAATTAATGAATAAATTGAATTAAATCTCTATTTTTTATTGGTTAAGTAATCTAAAATATATCAGTTACATATAAAGTTTCTAAAGGAATATATAGGTCCGGAACTCTACAGTACTTAAATAAAAAATGTGTATAAATATTACACTTTATTTTAAAATTATATTATATTTTAAACAAATAAATTGAATATTTATTTATAGAAAATGATTAATAGATATGTTAGATAAATTTTTATTAAATGAATTATATATAAATAATATTATTTTAATCCATTTGAGGCTAATTAAGGGATATTCCTTCCACGTCAGCCAATATACCCAATAAATCTATCACTCAGGAGCCCCACTGTTGCTAGTCCAACAAAAGAGTGGCAGACAAAAAGGCGAAAAAGGATGATGGTGGCCCAACCAAATGTAAGAAAGCCCAGACATTGAAACCCGCTGGATCAACCATTACATCAGAGCCCAATTCTCACGATGGTGGGAAATTGGTAATTTTAGTGGAGGCGTTAGGCAACCTATCAGACTGGAAAAGATATCTCATACAAACTGTTGCTTTGTTGATAAATTAATAATAATGAGGAGACACGTCAGAGCATATCTATTGATTCGCATCAATTTGAATATTTTTTTTTCTAATCAGAAATAAATGGGAGCTATGCAAGTGAAATTTATTAAAGAAGGTTGTAATATGTGATATAATTTTAATATTTTATATTCATTAAAAAATTGGCCACATATTACATGATAATTAACTAAAACTATCAAAATGTGGTAATCTGAGACTATTTAATATTTTTTCTTTTCATTCAATATGACACATTGATAAGAGTATTCCAAAATAGGCTCATCAATTTAGAACATGTTTAGATATTGAGTTGTGCATAAATTTGAATTGACTTTGAGTCAATTCAAATTTATTGTAAATTTAATTATATGGATTGAATTTTAAACTAATTTATTTTATTTTAAAAAAAAATTATTTTAAAATTTGAGTTTAGTTTAAAACTAATTTTAAATTTGATTTTAGTTCAAACTAATTTTAAATCTAAGTGAATAAGTGTTTATTATTTTTAGACCGAACAAAGGACTACAAATCACAAAAAGCAGTATTGATATTAACCAATTTCACCTGCAACACACATAAAAGTACAATTTATATACAAAGAATATTGGCAGTATCCACCTGGAGAGGAAGATTAACATAATATTTAGTTGAATTTAGGACAAAATATTTTTGCAGAATAGAATATTACCATTTTAGTTTAATTCTTTATACATATATATATTTTTAATAATAATGATAAATTAGGAGAAAGGGATTTTGGATATGAAGTTCATAATTTTGAAATATATTTAGAGCAAAAGCACAACTCAAACCAACATGTAACCCTTTATAACACATGTTGGTTTGATATATATCCGGTTTTGAAACATAATCGATATTTTTTTTTTTTTTAAATGTGGTTTGTACAAACATTGAATTTAACCCTTTATAACTGGTTATATTCATCAGCCCTATTTCGATCTCAGTTATAAGCTATTTTGAAATGTTATTCATGAACTACTTTGGGTTTAGTTAATTATGTTAAAAATCTGTTGAGTAGTTGGACATGGTGATTAGCACTTATTTAAAGTGTATATTCTCATGTTAAAAACTATTATGAGTTTTAAATCATATTCTGAATCTACTTTAACGATTGATTATACCACAGCATATTTCTATCTTGTTACTTTGTTTTGCTTTTCAAAATTGGTTTCTATTATATTGTCTCGTTTATTTCATATTGCTATTTAATTATCCCTTCGTGTTTGAGGCATTTTGCATATAGAAACTATACACGGTTATATGTTTCCAAAAGCCAATTAAACACAAACTTGTAATTTAAATATATTATTAATGTGGTCAATTTTTTCAAGCTTTACTCAACTATGTATCTTTACATGTTTAAAAAACAGCTAAAGATAGGCAGCCTTGTATTCAGTTGCAGATCAAGTTACATTACTGTGTAAACTCTATAGACCCCAATTAAAACAAATATAGAAGAAGCTTTACATGGTGAAGCAAGTTTAATGATCCATTTTTTTTCTGTTAGCTACTTAAATTTGAGTTAAGAAGAAATATTTCGATAGCAGTATAGCAACAATTGAATGTTATTGTAGTGTGGAGTACAATGTAGGCGGGAAAAAAAACTAGAGGAATTTTATTTCTAAAAACATAGAGGGGAGAGTGAGTGAGTGAGTGTTTCTTTAAGAAAAAAATAAAACAGATTTTTTACCTGAAAATACATTGTTATTTTTGAGGATTTTCGCAATTAAGACTTGGTACTCCTCTTTGTCTTTTACTAGTGAATGGAGAACATCTGTATTATGTTCAGTAACAGTAATATCAGATAACAATATTATGCAATGACATTATTATTGAAAAGGATCTTGACTATTGAAATAAATAATTTTTTTATTTAAAAATAACAAATATAATAATAGATTATTAAGACTAATACTGAATTTAATTCATTAAAAAATTCACTAGATATGATGATGCTCAACATGCTTTCAGCATATCCTCGTTTATTATATATGCCTAACCAAAGTTCAAAACAATCCATCAAATTTCCTTGTTTACTTATGGATTGGATTGGTTTGTTTAAAGTTCTTGTCACAAACCAAAAAGGTTAGTAAAATTAAAAGTAAAAGTAAAAATAAAATAAAATAAAAATTTTCTTTTTTAAAAAATCTACATTATAGGAAAACAAATTAATAATTTTTCTTTTGATAATTTTAGCAAGGACAAATTAATTATACAAATATTATTTTCACTCAACAAATTTAATACTAAATTTTGACAATTGGCAAGGACCAATTTTGTTTGACATCATGTTTCAAAGAGTTTTTTTTTTTTTTTTTTGCCCAATTTCGGTATATAATTAAGATAGGGGGAATCTTTATTAATTTGTAATCAATATCATGTCAATTATCAAATGGAAATTAAGAAATCTAGGTAACTAACTGTGCACGGTTAATGTTCACTTCTCAACTAGAAGTCTAGGAGATGAAAGAAGGAAAATGCAAACAGCAACAAATGATCGGTGTTCTTGTAAGTTATTGTTCATTGGTGGAAAACTGATAAAATAGATGAGATCTCATCCTGTTGACCCTTTGTTAATTTTATTCACAGCACATACTTGCCAAACCCGTCATCCTTCATTGATTCATTTTGACTTAAACATTATAATAAACCCTCCAATTTGGCCACAAAACTTCAATATCTCACCCTATATATACACCATCCAGCCTGAGCTTGACACACTCCTTAATTCTCATTATAACCCAACTTAATTCCTTGTTCTCATCATAAACTTTTCTACCTAGAGAATAGAGATGGTTGGCGATACTAAGTTGGTTATGTTTCTTATTCTCTTGGCTGTGAACTGCATGCAACATTTCGTCTATGGGAACCCCAAGTGCCTTGTCTTATGGCCTATGGGGACTCTCTGACTGACAGTGGAAACAACAACAATCTTCAAACACAGGCAAAAGCTAATTACAAACCATATGGCATCGACTTCTCAACAGGCCCAAGTGGAAGATTTACTAACAACCGAACTACGTTCGACATAATTAGTAACATTATCTCTAAAAATCTCTTTTTATCTTAAAGATATATATTGGGCACTCAGAACTGCAGTCAAAGATTTTAAGGGGTCAAGATTTTGAGATGGGATGGATATTTTTCATAACTTACCATTTTATAATGAAAGTGTCAAATTAAAAAGTTCGTTAAATAATCTAAATCCAAAAAAATTATAAAAAAAAACATTTTTTTTTCAGTTTTTTTCCCAAACTGCTCAAACTAACGTTTTACCATTATTGCAGGCCAACTTTTGGGATTTAAGAAATTCATCCCACCCTTTGCAAACACTAGTGGCTCAGACATACTGAAAGGTGTGAACTATGCATCCGGTACAGCTGGTATTCGCGATGAGAGCGGCTCAAATAATGTATAATTCAATCAAATAGCTGCCATTAATTTATCCTTCTTTTATTGATCATCTTTAACTTCAATTCGTGTTTGTTATATTTGTGGAGAATTTACGTTTCAATGCTCATGCATGCCACTAAATTAGTGTTATATATACGCAACACAGGGTGCTCATATCAGCTTGGGAGCACAGATAAGAAATCACAAGACCATAGTTTCCAGAATTGCTGTGAGACTTGGAGGTTCTGACAAAGCTAAACAATACCTTAACAAGTGTTTGTATTACCTAAACATAGGAAGCAATGATTACATAAACAATTACTTCCTTCCCCAGTCCCAAACAAGAAGCATGTATAGCCCTATGAAATATGCAACAGTTCTCATTGACCAGTTACGTGGATATATACAGGTATGGATATCTTACCATTTTCTCCGGGTTACTCGTATCATTGAAATTTAACTAGTACATCAAAGATATGAGAGGAACTTTGGGGGTTTATAGACAGGGTTGGCCCAACCAGTCTTTAGGCTTAAAGAACAATTTAAAATAGGCCTTTTAAACGAATTAAAATGATGTATTAAAATTATTATATATTTTATTTGAAAACTATTTTAATTTTTTTGTTATATTTTAGCAAATTAAAACTAAGAATAAAACAAAAAACAAAATGGCTGGGATCAAAATCCTGATCAGCCTGCGACTTGAGAATTCAAAATAGGTTCGTCATGATTCAAGATTTACTGATTTGGACTTTTTGAGATAATCGAAGCATGAATCGAGCTTAGCTTACTTTGATTGTATAATCCAGATATTAACATTGATGGTGTTGAATGGTTTATATTTTATAATAATAAGGAATGGTTTTGGAGACAGGATCTGAAGGAACATGGGGCAAGAAAATTTGTGATGGTTGGGTTGGGGCTTATGGGGTGCACTCCAAATGCCATCTCAACCTATGGGACAAATGGATCCCTTTGTGTTGACGAGATGAATGCTGCTGCATTCATTTATAATGACAAGCTTAAAGCTCTGGTGGATCAGATGAACGCCAACCCCTCTGCTGGTTCCAAATTCATCTTTGTAAACAGCACGATGGTAACCTTCGACGCTTCACAAGGTACGCATTTCAGTTTTCTCCTAAATAAATTCTCATTTTAGTTCTTCAAATTATCTGTATTCATCACTTCAATCTTTAATTTTATAAATATTTTACTTTAATTTCTTATTATATATAAAATGATATTCATTTTAATATTTTTATGAAAAATGACAAAACAATAAAAATTTAAATGAATGATACTTTTTTACATATATAAAATTAAGAATTAAAGTGTAAATTTGATGGAGTAAATAATTAATCGAAATAACTAATAATTTTAAAGAATAAAACTAGGGTTTACTTTTCTTATTTTAAATAATTTGACATATGCTGGATTGAAACAAAAGAATATAAACCATGGTCCATGTATTTCAGGTTTGAAGGTTTCAAATGCTCCATGCTGCCGAACAAGGGGGGATGGAATGTGTGTTGCAAATCAAATACCATGTCCGAATAGAAGTGAGTACGTGTTTTGGGATGGATACCATACCGGAGATCATCCCAACCAAATCATTGCTACAAATACATATAATGCTTCTAATTCAGGTTTCCCTTACCCAATGGACATCAAAGACCTTGTTCAATCGCCATGATTTAGTTCAAGTTACAGCCAAGTTATAGCTCTGTGTCCTTAAATAATTTCTTTTCATGCATTGTACTTTACATTGAGCTGAATAAGTGCTGTTTTATATATAAGTGTTGTTAAATAAACCAAAACATATTAACTAGTCTTCTGCGTGTTTTATCTTTCCTGTCAAATAAAAGGGTCCTGAACATTGACATGTGATTTTCATTTGTTTTTCTTTTGAGATATATTACTTTTACAATATATATATATATATATATATATAATTTATTTATCTTTCTCTATTACTAATAACTATTCCACAAGTGCATTAAATCGTTTAACTAATAATCACGATAAATAGATAGATATTGTCTCGAAAAGATTGATTTGTCTCAAATTTTTATTTAAATCACATCAATTATTCAAATTGAAGAAAGCTTTAAATTTATAATTAAAATAAATTAAATATTTAGAAAAAAAAATAATGACTTCAACAAGTAAAGGATAATTTCAAAGTTCAAAATATTACAAGCGAAGATAATTTGAATTTTTCTTAATTCTTGTTTAATTTTTAAAATATTTAAATTAAATCTTATATTAATGAAAAGATTTTAAGTGAATGGAATCCAATTTTTTGGTGAATCAATTCTTTTCTTATTTATAATAAAATATGACAATTCATTGATTATATCTTAACAAAATTTAGATTAAATGCAGAATCAATCCATATATCAAACAAAATTCAAGAAATATTCCTAAATCTTGAAATTGATTTAGTTCATCACTTGAGCTAATTTATACACATTTTTTTCAAATTTTGTAGCAACTTTAGTTCAATCATTAATAATAACTCATAATTTTTAATATAAAAATAAAAGATGAACAATTAATTTAAGAAATATAAGATCAAAATATCAGAAATTCAATCTCAATATATCACAATCAAGCGTTCGCAACGGTACGGTAAAAATATTTTAAAAATCAAGTAGAGTCATCATCAAAATTTATCAAAGAAAACCTTAGAAAAACTTAAAAATTTGATCTTTGAAATAAAAAATAAATTTGAGAGTCATTTACATGTAGGGAAAGTATTAGTATCCTACAACGTCCGTTTTAAAACAGTTACTTTAAATTAGTTGTACAAATTTATTTTAATTTTAAAGAATATTTATTTAACCCCTAAATGTGAAAACCAAATTTTTCCTCCCAAGGATTGCCTCCAAATTTTTTTTATAAAAATATAAAAATAAAATACAATTGTTTTACAAAAAAAAAATGAATAATTTTGAAAAAAAAAAAGAGATTAATTTTTGAAAATAGAAATCCTATACTATGCAAACTTATACCTTAATATCAAAAAAATAATTTTATATAAGAAAGGAGAAAAAGTTTAAATATTTGACATTTTATAAAATCTTAAAACATGAGATTGAAGACCAATATAGATATGGAAAAGAAGGAAGAGAAAAAAAAATTCTTAAGAAGGAAGTCTAACATAAATAAATAAAAAAAAACACAAAATCATAGAGAAAAGAGAGTGAAACCTTTAAAAAAAAAAAACTTTTTTTACAAATCCAACAAAAATTTAATTTTTTTTTCCTTTTTTATATTTTCTAATTTAATTTTTAAAATTTAATTTTTAATTTTTATTTAGTTTCTTTATTAGTGACTTATTATTTATTTGCGTGACATCTAATTTGACTGAAACCTACTGTAAACGAAATTTGTCATTAATAATATTACAAAATTTGTATTTTTGAATAAAATTTTAACTTATAAAGTTATAATTTTTTAAATTAAGATTTAAAAATATGAAAAAAATAAAATATAAATGTCATATTATCATTTACAATAACTCTCCATTTACATGAGTCAAGTTTTACATAGGTGTATATTAAAAAAAAAAATATGTGTATAAAATATTAAACTATATTATAAAGATTGAAGAGATACAAATTAGATATTTTATATAATTATACAATTAATCAAATATAACTCACTAACAAATATTAAATCAATTAAGATGTATACTTCAACCAAACATATAATTTATATACATAATATTGTCTTAAAAAAATATAAAAAAATACGTATTTTGTATATAATAATGTGATTGATAAAAAAAAAAAATACCAAATTATAAAAAATAAATTTATTATAATTAAGTAAAAAAATGATTGTAAGAGAATATTTAAGAATACTATAAATTCTTACAAAAATTAATAAAAGTGATGAACTTTACCATTTTCAATGAAAAAAAACATATTTTTTTATAAAATTAAATATATGTAATTATTAAAAATTTTGATTATGAGTAGCGTAAATAATATATTAAATATTATATATTTTATAAATGTAAACAAATACTATTCAAAATTTATATAAAGTAATAAAATAATTTGTATAAATATAAAAATAAAGATTTATAAAAAATATTAAAAATTTATATAAAATAATAAAAAAATTAAATAACAACTTTATATCAAAGCACTGTCAAGCATAAAAAATCAAGGCCTATTTCAGTCTTTCCGATATTCATAGCTCCGTATTAGTACATCATAAACAAATACGTGAGAACCACGTTCACTCAATTATAAATTGATCAGACAATAATGTGGATATAGTTTTAAATTAAAATACATAAGGACCTAATTTTACGTAGTCTGTATTTAGAAATATATTAAACAATTAATAAATATAAATTTAACACAAACTATAATTAATAGCAATAAAATAATAAAAAGCTTCAATAATTTAAATTTGAATTCAAATATACTATTAGTCGTTCCAATCAGCATTAGAAATTTAATTAAAATCACTGGATCATAGGGAACTTTACTGGATTAAAATACTAAATTCCTTGTCCATACCATCCTAATTATATTAATCACATTAAATTAAAATCAACATATATATAAGAAAATTTTATTTCTAATTGCAAAATCGAATCTCAATTTTAATTTTTTATATTGACTACTATTTTTTCACTCCTTGGTATATATATTTTTTCTTCAGTTATCATACATATACATACAAGTATTAATATAATATTATGCTATAATTATAATATTAAAAAATAATAAAGTATTTATTTATGGTAAAATAATTAAACTTTTTTACACATCATGCTTAAAGGAGAAAGCTGTCTTTTTAATAAAATTATTTTTGTAGACGGGATAATTCTTTACTATAATTGATTCGTTATTAAGTCATGATATCAATAGTCAAATGGAAATTAAGAAACATACAAAGCAACCTATGAATCACTTCTCCACTAGATAAATGGAGCAAAACGCAAAAACAGGAACAAATGGTCGCACGTTCTTCTAGGATTTAGTGTTGATTGGTGCAAAATTGAAATAGAAACATACAAACCCTTTGTTTTTATTAATAACAAACTTGCCAAAGTCGTCATCATTCAATATTGATTCATTTTGACTTCATTTTATAATAAACCCTCCAACTTGGACACAAAACTTTATCACCCCCATGCTATAAATACATACACCCTTCACCTTGCGCTTGACACTCCTTATTTCAGGGATCATAATAAACCCAATTTTATTTTGTTTCATCATTAACCTTTTTAGCTAGATCGAGAATATGGTAGCTAAGACAAAGACATGGTTGGTTCTGTCCCTTCTTCTATTGGCTGCAAACTGCATGCAACATTGTGTCTATGGGGACACCCAATTGCCTTGCCTTTTTATCTTTGGGGACTCTTTGTCCGACAATGGAAACAACAATAATCTTCCAACAGCTGCAAAATCTAATTACAATCCATATGGCATTGACTTCCCAAAGGGCCCGACTGGAAGATTCACCAATGGAAGAACTTCAATTGATATAATTGGTAACGTTCTTTATGCTTAATTCAATATGCCAAAGCCGAATAAAAACCTATCTTTCTCTCTATTTATCTATCTTTCCCTTCCAATGTTTTTGTTCAGCTCAAACCAACGTTTCACCATTAATGCAGGCCAGCTTTTGGGATTTCAGAATTTCATCCCACCCTTTGCAAACCTTAGAGGCTCCGACATACTTAAAGGTGTGAACTATGCATCCGGTGCAGCTGGGATTCGCATTGAGACTGGCACACATCTGGTATTATATAAATCAAATAGCATTAAAGATTAAAAATATATTTTAAACATTCAATTTTTTAATCTAACAGGATTAAATATAAGATATATTAATAATATTTTTATCATAATAAATTAATATTGTATATTTATTAATGTATTTAATAATTTAGACTTGTTAACTTACATATGATGTATGCACTTTAGCTAACTTAATTATTTAAAGATATATTTATTAACTTATTTAATAAAATTTATTATAAAGTAACTGTTTAGATTATATTAAACTTTTAAAACGATTATAGCAAACCTGAAAAAAAATTTAAATTCAGGAAATGAGTTAAAGTTAAACTTTTAACTTACAATCATGTCAAAGAATCCTAACAAAACCGTTTTCTATCCTTATTGCTCATTCATATCTTCGATTGGCTTTTGGTATGCTTTTAATTAGAGGATTATGTTTCAATGCATGCCACTAAATTAGTGTCACACAATGCAGGGTGCTGATATAAGCTTGGGATCACAGTTAGCAAATCATGGAGTCATATTGTCCAAAATTGCAAACAAACTTGGAGGCTTCGACAAAGCTGTAAAATACCTTAACAAGTGCTTGTATTACGTGAATATAGGCAGCAATGATTACATAAATAATTACTTCCGTCCTCAAATTTACCCAACAAGCCGCATCTATGCCCCTGATCAATATGCCAAAATTCTTATTGACCAGTTATCTCTATATTTACAGGTATTTTACAATTTTCTGCCTGTTTTTTTGTTTTACTTTGTCCACTCACAAATTGACTGGGTTATATTTGGTATAATATATAAAATATAAGTAATATTCTGCGTGTTACTTTGTATTACTTTGTCCACTCAACTTTTTTTAAAGGGGCTTTCAGAAGCCTCTTCATTGGAAGAGTTCAGCTTTCAAGGTTTTTAAAAGCTTCAAGATGACTTATATTTAAGTAATATATGTTTGGAAAGATTAATTGAGATTATAAGTCAAATTTTATAAGATTATAATATATATATATATATATATATATATATATATTATGAAACATAAAAAAATTAAATTCTTAAACAAATTTCTACTCAATAAGCGAAAATTTGACTTTGATTTGTTTATTACACGTGATTAGGTATGTTTTGGATTCACGTTGAAAACTTAATAAATATAAATTTAATGTAGAAATTACATTAAAATTAAAGATGCACGAAAATCAACCAATGTGTTCATCATCATTTCATGATGCTTATTTGGGTGAATATGTGGAATTGAATAAATTTAATTAAATTGGTCTATTTTCTTTATTTATTTTGATTTAATCAAAATGGAATCATTTGAATTTGATCTTTATTTATTATTTTTGAGTTAATATTTTTAAAATCAAATTAATTTGAACCAAATTAATTTTAATATTTTATTTATTTTATGATTTGATAATTTTAATTATATATATATAATTAAAATTATTTGATATCCTAAATTTTATAATATATTTATATAACATTTTTAGATATTTTAAATTAAAATTTTAAAATATATAAATTATTAATTTGATTACCTGACCCGGTCTAACTAATTTATTTATTTTTATCGAATTAGTTTAATCTTAATTTACTTTTGAAAGTCCAACCCTACTAAGTAAATAAAAATTAAAAAATACTAACGTCCCATGTGAATGACGTGTTCATGGGGTGGGTTGCAAGGAAGACTTGAATTATAAGTTTGAGGCCCCCCAATCTTTATTCTGCTTTAAAAAATTAGAAAAAATGAAAAATGGGCTTAAATTCTTGATAATCCTGGGACCTCTGAGAATTAAAAATAGCGATATCGTATTTCAATTTTCATGAATTATTTAAATTTAATCATATAAATAGAAAACTATAACATGTTCTTTATCACACAAACTGTTTTCCAATATGATGTATAAGTGTATAGTGATTGAATGACTTATAATAATAATAATAATAATAATAACTAAAGATGATTGTTTATGGGGCAGACGCTGCATGATTTTGGGGCAAGAAAATACGTACTAGTTGGGGTGGGTGCAATTGGATGCACTCCAAATGCAATGTCTACTCATGGGACAAATGGATCTTGTGTTCAAGAGATGAATGCTGCTGCTTCCATTTACAGTAACAAGCTTAAATCTCTTGTCGACCAATTCAATAACAAGTTCCCTGCTGATTCCAAATCCATCTTTATAGACAGCACAGCTGGAAGCCTTGACAGTAGTTCCCTTGGTACACAATTATACATACATACATACATTTCAATTTCTAGATTATGAAACAATTGAATATAATATGTGGTTCATGTATTTCAGGTTTCACGGTTTCCAATGCTCCTTGCTGCCCAACAAGGGAGGATGGACACTGTGCTCCTGATCAAATGCCATGCAAGAACAGAAATGAATACGTCTTTTGGGATGGATTCCATACCACAGAAGCTACCAACCTAATCGTTGCTTTAACTTCATACAATGCTTCTAATCAAGCCTTCACTCACCCAATGGATATTAAACACCTCGTCCAGTCTAATTTTGTTTGTAGCTTCTAAATAGGTTCACATTTTCATCTCAAAGTTGAATACGATACAATACCACTTATAGTTTGCTTTAGACTATTTATAAAAACAGTTTATGAGTTTTTAACTCATTTTAATAAATTCTTTTCGTACAAATTTTGTTGTTAAATTTATAGCATACAAAAAGTTCACTTCAGCTTTTAATGTTTTAAAAGTGTGCAAAATAATTATTTATTAAATTTTCCAATAAAAATCATGCATGCAACAGCAATCACATGAGCCGTCAAGTTTGGTTTGTTGAGAAGAAAAGCAGTAGTAACAGAACCCGAATCCCTTGCAATTGGAAAAAATATAATTGGAATTTCATCCTTGATAATGGTTCATTCTCAATTAATCATATTTTTTTATCAATGTTTTTTTAAAATGAAAATATATATTAACACCTTTAAAAAGAGTTTAATTTCAATACATAAAAATATAAAGATTTTTTTTATATTATCTTCTATTCATAAATTATCATATTAACAATAATTCTTAATTTCTATATTAACTAATATAAAAATTTCATCAACAATATATTTTACTTGAAAAGTATAAATATTTTTTTACTGATAATGTAGCAAAATTATATTTAAAAGACAATGTTAATGTTGAAATTCATGCAATAGAAAACCAATGTATAAGTGATTTTAATTTATAATAATAATCATGCAAGACGTAGAATAGGAAGTGACTACAGTGAAACTGGATTCCAAGAAATAGGTACCTCACATATCCTGATATTCAAACGGTAAAGAATGCTGCTGCTGTCCTCCAATTAAACTGGGTTTTCTTTTGTTTAATAATTTTTCTTTATTTTTACATTTTGTTGGCATTTTTTATATCTTAATAAAAATTAATATTTTATTAATAATTAGTTATTTTTTATTTTTTAAAAATAAAATTTAGATGCAACGGACAATCCACTTTAACCTATCATTAAAGGGATGAACTAAGCAGGCCGGTGAATTCATAACATTGAACCCAATCCGCTAATTTTGATGGACTAGGTAAGTCTGGCCCGTCAGATGAGGCCCTTTTGACACCACTAATGTCACGGGTCTGCACTCTGCAGCAAGAGCCTAGTAGGCAAGACGTACAGTGAGTTAAGGAGGAATGGGCCCATTGTGTCCCCTTTATTAGGATTCACTTGTCATGTGGATCATTGCCATCGGTGTGTTGTCACACTGAAATAGTCCTTTTTCTTCCTGTTCACCTGACCTGAAATGTCATTATTTTTTATGACATAATCGGCTGTACATATTTAATCTGCACAGTAACTCTTCCTCTATGGTATGCTCAATCACAAGAATTATAGTTATTTAAGCGGGGAGATTACAATATTTTTAGATTTTATTTGATAGTTTAGAGACATAGAATGTGAAAAGTAGAGGAGGAGAAGATCGTAAACCAGATAAATTTAGGTCTCTTTAAGATTATTAACTACATCTACCGCATGATCAGATTTCATGAAGTGATTTGAAGTTGCATGGCTTGTTTTGTCAATCTTATATTTATGGATTAAACCATGTAGTTTAATACGACCATGTTTTATTTTTATATAAACTAGAGCAGCACCCGTGTTGCACGGGCTCAAATTTAGAACCACACATTTAACATCAGTGTGTACGGTAATACAATCGGGCGACAAGTATTAATACATGTCACCAAGAGATCTCATATATACAGAAATGAAAAATGATTTACTGTTACTTGTATAATTATTACCTCACAATTACATCATATTTGTTTTGTACGCACGAAGAGTGTTAATATCTTAATGGATCTTGTACTGAAAATATCTTAGCCACGTTTTATATCAAACAAATAAATATACTATCAATTCTCGTGTATTTCTTCAAACATCGCATTAATGGCAGCAAGCTGGCATGTTGTTAAAATAGATGCATGCTCCCATTGAGTCATTGCCATAGAAATTTTGTTTTCATCTGCAGTATGTTACCTTGCCAAACCAATCATTCTTCACTGCAGCATGGTGTTTTTATTTTGATTCCCAATTAGACTACAACACTTGGTAATCCCATCCTACGTATTCATCTTTTGTTTAGTTCCTCTTTTGCCTCATTAGTTTCTCTGCTTAGAGATGGGTTGGGAAACAAAGGCATGGTTGGTTATGCCACTTCTTTTCTTGGCTACAAACTACATGCAACATTGCGTCTATGGGGAATCCCAAGTGCCCTGCCTTTTTATCTTTGGTGACTCTCTCTGTGACAGTGGAAACAACAACCACCTTCAAACATCTTCAAAAGCTAATTACAAACCATATGGCATTGACTTTCCAAATGGACCCACTGGAAGATTTAACAATGGCCGAACAGTAATTGACATAATTAGTAACGTTTATCTTTCTCTTCCCTTTTTTCTTCTTACAATTCAGCGCTGCAATTAAAGATTTTATATTTATAGGGTCGTGTCTTTCTTACCGTTAACTTTTTGTTCAGCTCAGACTAAAGTTCTACAATTGCAGCTCAACTGCTAGGATTTGAGAATTTCATTCCACCCTTTGCAAACACTAGTGGTTCAGACGTACTTAAAGGTGTGAACTATGCATCTGCTGGAGCTGGAATTCGTGTTGAAACCGGTTCACATACGGTATAGTCAAAACCTTTTTCTTTCACTACTTATTTTTTTCTTGATTTTCAATTGGTTTTTGGTACATCAGTGGATGGCTAGAGGGCTTGTGATTGTGTTACAATTCTCATGCATGCTACTGAATCCAAACTATACAATGTAGGGTACTATTATCAGCTTTGGATCACAGTTAACAAATCACGGAGTCATAGTTTCTCAAATTGCTACAAAACTTGGAAGTCCTGAAAAGGCTCGACAATACCTTAACAAGTGCTTGTATTATTTGGACATAGGCAGCAATGATTACATAAACAATTACTTCCTTCCCCTTTTCTACCCAACAAGCCAAATTTATAGCCCTGAGGAGTATGCAGAAGCTTTGATTGAAGAGTTATCTCTTGATCTAATGGTATCCATTTTTGTGTCTCATTTTGTCTAACTTGATTAGGATAATAATAGTATCATGTCAATTGAAGTTACATAATTTATAATATGACGGTTGAATAGGGAATTTGATGTTTGTGGGCAGGCTCTACGTGATCTTGGAGCAAGAAAGTTTGTTTTGGTTGGGATGGGCCTTTTAGGCTGCACAGTAAATGCCATCATTACCCATGGAACAAATGGATCGTGTGTTCAAGAAGAGAATGCTGCTGCATTCATTTTTAATAGCAAGCTCAAGTCTCTAGTGGATTTTTATAATAACAAGTTCTCTTCTAATTCCAAATTCATCTTTATAAACAGTACATCTGAGGCAGATAGCTATTCACGTGGTAATAGTTATTGTTTTCTTATTCTTCAGTCCACATCTCTACAATAAAAATCATTGATTGTCTTTAATTGAGGTGCATATAATATGCATAACCATATATGTTCTATGTTTCTCAGGTTTTATTTCGGATGCTGCTTGTTGCTTATCGGGGTCATCTGGGGGGTGTATTCCTGATCAAAGGCCATGCAATAATAGGAATGAGTATGTGTTTTGGGATGAATTCCATCCCACAGAGGCTTGGAACAAGCTCATTGCAACAATATCTTATAATTCTACCTCTAATCCAGCTTTCACGTATCCAATGGATATCATGCACCTTGTTGAACAAGAAATTAAAATGGAATTGTTGATAAATGAGCCCACATCACAGCTTAGTGCCCCTGAATAAGTTCAGGTTATCATGTAGTCGTTGATATGGAGCTGAATAAGTTACGAGTTGAATACATATTAAGTAATGACATGCCTCAAATTTGATCCTAATTGTATTGGATAATCAACTAAAGAAACATCCTATTACGTATTCCATACATGATACTTATTGTGAAAAAAAAAAATCCGTATGTTATTTTTTTTAATTTGATAAGAAGGTTACGAGGAGCTTAATCTATGTTTTATTGATTAACATAATAATTATCATCGTTAAATTAAAATTATTATCGTTAGATTAAAACAATAAACAATAATAATTTAACGGAATTGACCATTGATTCTTGTTTTACAATATTTTTTTATATTTTTGTTTGGTACTGTATATGTTTTTATATATTGCCCTACTTTTGTTTTGGGTCAAGCCCTACTTTAGTGTGGGCTTGGTTTTGTAGGATCTCTTGTACGGTTGGGCCTATACCTCAACTTTTCTTTTTGTTTCTTCGCTTGTTACTGTGCCTATCTGTCAACTTAACTTGTATCTAGGTTTGACCTCCCAAAAAATAGTGGTATCTACGCCTTTTCTTGAAACAAAAAGTTTTTGGGTCTAGAGTTTTTTGAGAAAATTGTAAAAGTAATGATGATCATGACAAAAAATATATATAGGGTAATGATAACCAAATGCAAAATATTATGAACCATTTAATTGATTACTACTTTGGTTTTATCATGCCTTTGGAAAAGGTACTTTCACATACAACTGGGTCTAGTGCTATGGAGTTAGTTCACGGGGAGGGAAAAAAGAAGATTGAGAAAAAGAAAAGATAGTCATAGGTGATATGTGAGCTGTATGTGTATCTATCTATCTATTTATCTTAACTTTTTTACGATATTTATCTATCTATCAATAGGTTTGATATCACTCTTCCGCAAATATATACTTATAAAATCGAGGATAAAACATAGTAAATGATATGTCCACGCTTATTTGGTAATATAAGATATTATGTTTAGGGAAAATATTATGCAACTTGCGAAAAAAAAAAAACCACTTTGTCAAATAATTTTTTATGAAATGTTTGTTTCATCTGAGAATTATAAATTTCATTTAAAAAAATATTTTTTAAACTATTGTGTTTGCATTGAAAAGGTAATGTAAAGTATCTAAATCCATATTGAAAAGTTGAGTACTTGGGCACATTCCAAATTAAGCGTGGTGATAACTATTATTGGATTGCAATGAAAGTACAATTCAGACAGTACTAATATATGAAAACATCTTTAAACATTGACTAATAAAAAATTCAACCCGCTGAAATCTTTTGTCGACAGCTTACTACTATTTAAAAAGTAAATGTGTTTTTAAAAAGGACTTGATTCATCTCATTAAAAGTATCATCTTTTTTCCTCAAGCTCAAACTCAAAAATAAAATGAATAAGATGTGTGGGGGGTTATTTTGAATGAGACAGTGAGTATTGAAATTTATCAGTTTAATTTATTAATCAATTATTTTATGCAAATATATATATATATATATATATATATATATATATATATATCCTTTACCAAGAGTCAACTTGAAGGAACCAATTATAGTATTACAATATAGAGGACTCATTTCATTTATAGACTTTTCTTTTAAGTATCATCAATAGATCATTCAGCTGATGATACCTGACAAAGTTATGATATTTTTGCCTTGCAGACTTTTCACTATCCAGAATAATGATCATTGGTTAGTCCATTTCAAACTTAATGTTAAATATAGAAATAGTGCGTATTTGGATGCTAGTTAAAATAGTTTATACACACGTTTCAGATTCATAAGCTACTCTTGATTGCTTCTAAAAACGTACGTCAATCACTTCCAAACGCTGGACCAAACATGCCAATGGATAGAGAATGGAAGTGACTCAAGTCGATGAGGGAAAATATTATCAAAGAATAAGAGAAGAGATCCACGGAAGTCACTCGTTGTATTGATTGAATGAAAGATATTGACGTGAAATGATACCACAACAATTATACATAGATGCGAATGTATAAGAGAGGACTAGTAGAACCTATAACCCAAGTCTAAATAACAGCTAACAAAATCAAATTCACTCCACCTTGCAGTCACAATCAGTTAAACGTTGTGCATTAGCAACTATTATATGTGTATATTACAATAACATATCATTGATATAAAAACAATTCCACTGAATTCAATGAACATGACCATGATTTTACTGTTAGATGCCCAAGCATAGGCAAATTCCATGTTTACAATCCAAGACCATTCGCAACATTTAAGTATGAGATCACGGGCTAGAGATGTGAATTACGAGGTGTTTGGGATAATAGAAATCTAATCTTATTATTGGGTTAAGGCTAACTCACCCCCTAATTAAGAGGGGTTTCTCCGTGTTATTGTTGTTTGGTTTGAGAAGAATTAAGATTAATGAATAGATGTGCAATTATGATAGAGAGTAAACAAAGTTTGACAAACATGTCAAGGTGTCTTCTCCATACTTAGGACACAAACTAATATAACAGAGAGTGTTTTGCAATAGATACATGATATAGTCTTAATTACGAAAGTCTACAAAGCCACTACATAGTACTGAGGGGATACCTTAATCCCATCCACATAATTCTGCTTACATTACCCTTAGCATTCATCTGCTAATCATACTAGAAGGCAAACTACAAGTAGCAGAAACTCTCAAGTCTTAATACTTCTCAAGAGCAAACACATCATCTGCAGATAAAAAAACACTTGTTAGATTTAGAGTTTGTTCACTCCGCATATACATGGTGAGTTAAGTTATATCCATAACTTAAGTAAGTAGAAAGGGAATATAAACTTGTTCACATATTATATTGGGCTCTTCTAAAGTGAGGAAATGTGTTAAGTGAGAATTAAGGATGTTTTCAACATTAATTTCATATTAGTTATATTTATAAAAATTTGAATTTAAATCAGGTGGATAGATCCTCACTTTCTCACTTTACACACGTTCCCTCATTTTAAAGGAATTCAACCCAAAGAATACGGCTTAAATGAGCTCCAATAGCCATATATAGTATGAATATAATAATTCAGTTATTCTTAAATCATATAATTTCCTTTACTGTATAAACCCTAATTTATTTCCCAGCTCATTTAATTCTATATTAAAACTTGAACCCCCCAAATGTCATTTTCTTTGATTTACATTTCTATAAACATTTGTTTTTTTTTTTTTCCTAATGAAAATATGAATAAGCTATATGCAATTTGTTTATAGGTAAATAATTTGTGATTCAAACTTAAAGAGAAACAACGGTTAATTTGTATTATAAGAATGTGAATACTGACTGGTAAGGGAAATTCTTACACTAATTGAAGGGACATCTGATCTTGCCGTGCGTACTGATTATTGGGTTGTAAACCAGTGACTTGGAAGTAGCCACGAGAGTCGAATTGCTGCTGAGACTGCATAGAGTCATAATTTGTGCCTACCGGCAACACAGTCATGTTATGCTGGCTCCTCTCACTTTCAGCTATCTACACCCCATCAACAAAGCAAAGCCATAAGTAGCCATAATACTACCCACAATATATGCACATAGAAATCATGTGAATAAAAGATAGAGACAAACCTTTGCTCGAAGAAGCTGATTGTTGTTGTGCAAGTCTATCTCCTGCAATGTACATTTTAGTTAAGATACCTTGAAAGCTATATATAATGGGCAGTCATCAAGTGACAAGATGTGCATTTACAATACAACTACCAATGATTTAGGACTCAAACACTACCATTCAGATTATATTATCATACTTGAGTTCATAAATAAGTTATTCTCTTTTAACTCCATCATACAGTTACACCATACTATAAACATTGCAGCCTTTCTAAAAAGAAATAATAAAACAATATAATTGCTTCCTTTTTTTATATACGTGCCAAAATTGATGAGAGAAAATAGATTTAGAAGTAGAAAATCCAAAGGAACACATCCAAACTCTCATAAGAACTTAGCTGATTTGATTTTTCTTAGCTTATTACGTCCAGAAGTATGAGGCTATTCATAGATATACAAGACACTAATTAAATATTTTAACTCTTCATGAACATATTCCAGGTGCACTTCGAAGTAAGGAAAAAGAGTGATATTCTCAAATTCTATGTTTCGAGTGTACATATATCGATTATATATGGCAGAAATTTCAATCATAATTTCCTATAACTTCATTAACAACATTCTGGCTTTTGTAGTCTTTGTAAGAGCATTGTGTTTTGATGCTATTCATCAATTAATTTTATCTGTATTTTTACATGTTTGTAACCAAGAGGTGAGTACGTGACCTAATTAATTGGGTTCAAGCAAAGTCTATTTTTAAGTTGTTAAAAGGTTTTTGAAAAAATGGTCTAGAATTATCTAAGAACTAGATATTCTAAATTCACATTGCAAGATAGAAAATGTTTTTACAGTTTTATCTAAGGTAGAAAATTGCTGACTGAAGTATTACAAATAGCTTCAAGTAAGATTTATCTTCCAAGTTATATTTACATCTTAAAATAATTAATCATCTGAATAAAATCATTCCCGAAACCTTAAAATTTAGTATCCTGTAAAATCGTATGATACATCAAATTAATAGGTGGCATATATTAACATTTTGCTCCAATCTTTTATTCCACTTTTGAGCTTTTGGCACAATATGAATTTTTTTTTCTTTCGTCTCTAAAAGTGAAACAGTTAAATTAGTATTCTTCAATATCTTTTACAGTGGATCAATTTAATAGGCTGTTGATCAAATTTCACGGTCAGTGTCTGAGATTGAAAATTAAACATTGCTTTAATTACAATTCCATGAACGGCTAAGTTTGGCAACCTAAAAAAATGATAACCATAACAAACAGGACGAAGCATAGTCGAAGAAGTCCTACGTGTGTTTATATATATATATATATATAATCAGATACTGACTTTAATTGCAATGCGCTGAGCCACTTAGAACACAATCATATGCTATATTGATTCTATTATTCACCTTTGAAAACCATTGACTCAGGACCAATCAAGTTCCAGTGTATACAAAGTCAAATATATGTAAAACTTAAACAAACAAAAACATAAATATAAGAAAAAATATTTACCCTCTTCTGCATGTACTCAATTTCGGCAAATAGCAGCTCATTCTAATGTTGATATTTGGTATGTAGCAGAAGTGAAAAAAAAGAAGGACAAAGTTAGAAAAATGAATGATTTATCAACCAATGCAAATAATTAAATGATCTATCCTTTCACAAGTTATTGAAATAACTTGTTCAATAAGACATACCTTTTTGGAACGAATCCTACTAATTCCTTTTTCTAATTTAGTCTCCAAGTTTTTAAGGTCCTTGGCATTCATAGAGCCTAAAGACTCACCCATCATTTGCCTGCAATTTAATTTATCATTTTCAGCAAGGATATGCTCAATTAATACCATCCGCAAGCGACTAATTATTCTGCATTTTTTTATTTTTCAATTTATTTTATATTTGTACATGGTTTGAAATTTGAAATCCCTTTTTTCTTTTCCTCTTTTTCCTGTAATTTTTCTCTTGTGAATGAGAATCTCTTTGTGCTAATGCATAAAAGGTTAATTCAACTTACCTGTTGTTATTCTGCAGATTACTAATTTGCGCACGAAGTTTTTCTGCTTCTTGCTGGTAAAACTGGAAATATTTATGAACTCATGGCTATAAGTGTTACTTTATATAATAAAATTACACGGATATCATTGTTTAATTAGGTGCTAAATAAAAGACTGACAGATGATCATATTAATGGACTCAATATCTATCTCACCCGAAAGAAATGTAAAAGGATCAAGCAATACCTGAGCATTAGCCTCAGAAGCAGATCCAGCTCCAGATGAATCTGAACATGCTTTCTTGTACCTCTCAATAGTTTCTTTGACACTAACATAATTAATAGTATCATTAAACATTCATGTTCATTGTAAATTAGAGAGCTAATAAGCATATTTTAAAGGGGCTCTTAAAATCATCTCAATTCTAATAATTTTGTAAGGAACAATTAATTTTAAAATTCATTATTATATATCATCCTTTTTGGTCACATAGAAACAAAACTACAGCTCAACAATTACAGTTTTTTTGTTTCTATTGTCAAGGATGTTGCCATGGAAACCATTTCAGGTGGCACTATAAACGTCTGATTGTATCTTGGATGTTGGAAGCAGTACTCCTTATATTTTCTATTAAAATATTTATTTGGCTTATAAAAAAAATTAAATTGTCTCGGATTGATAACATTATGAAAAGAATATACATCACAATTTGTTAGGTTACAAGCTAATGTACAGCCTAAAATCATCATAAACTTTCATTTAGCATGCATTTGCTTCTCCAGTGACATCATTTTTCAAGAAAGATTTTAATAGGTGATTAAGTATAGGATGGAAGAAAGGAAAGATGAGATGAAAAGACCTTAAATTATACTTCATAATAACATTTTTTTCTCCAAATTAATACCAGCAATTTGAGTATTTAAGTCTCTAATTTAATAATCTTAAATGGGAATTGATAAGGTTTTGTTTGCTTTAAATTTCTAATGTTTAAATACATTGTATATATGCCTTAAAATTATTTTAATGTGTATCAAACGGGAATTGACTACACACATATAGAGGGAGGGAGGGAGGGGAAGGGGGAGGTAGCCTCATTATGCACATGATACTCGAATTCAACCCATAAACTAAGGACATAATAAAAGTGTCAGTAGGAACCAGAAGGAAAATGCAATGTCATGTCCAATATATGAAGGTTCTATGATTATTAGCCAATGAAGTTGAATATTATTATAATATAATCAGACAGAGAACAAAATGCAGCTAAAGTATTGCATTTTCTTTAAAGTATGTACATATTGATTTGGAACAATAATTTATATCATATATGTCTCTTGTTATCATTAACCCAATGAGACGGAAATAAATGTTGTAAGCTCATTTTTCCTTATTCGGATGCATGAAAAAAATACTATAGAAAACAAAAGAAATGAATTTTACTATTCAAACTTATTTTCTTAAATAATCTTTTACTTTGATTTTTAAAAACTTTTCCTCTCTCATTTTCATACTCATTAGGTTAATCCAATATACAATGAATTCAGTGGTTATTAAATGTCCAGGATAATTATGCATTAAACTGAATTAAAGATGTATTTGTAGCAAATTAAAATTTAAAGACCTGCACGTTTGCTCTAGGATCTTTGCAATGTTTCACACGCAACAGCATATTCTTGAGAAATGAACACCAACCGGGAATGAAGACAGATCAAAATGCCCTATTTTTCTAAACTATATCCAGCCAAGTATAATATTGTGCATAATCATGCATCCAATTGCTGATAACTGTAATCAAAATGATTTGAAAAATTCGTGATAAAGAATATTCAACCTAGTAGTCAAATCACACTAACCCTTTTGTTTATTGAACATTGACGGGGTGGCTTGATTAATTAAAGACTTAAAATTGTCTTTCACTGTATACAGTATATGAGATAATTGATTAGGATTCTCATTTAAAAAAGACAAATTGACTTGATTATATCGAATAAAATTATTAGAAGAATGTTAGTAAATAAAGTATATATTAATTGTATGGTGAAGTTTACAGTGCTTATTTTCACCCTTTCTTGACGGTTAGACGTCAATTCTTACGTAAGCATGAAACTTCCATCTTTCACTCCTGGTTGAGTGGAAAGGACTAATCCTATCTATGTTTCTTTCTTATTTGGGACACATAAATAGAAAGAAAGAGTAAGGTTGGAGTGAAGGTGTCAATCACAGTGTTCAATTTAACATGAAATTAAACAAAGCACATTGGAGATTAACCAGAAAAGTGGCCTCTTGTTGATGGTCAAATCATCCAACTCTCTCAGTTAACTGAACCTTAAACGCAACTCTTTCAAAGCAACATCAAATGATCTCATTAGTCAGTCATCCCCGTCAAAGTCTGATTAGATGTGATAAAAATAAAATGTTAAAATAATAAAAAATTCAATTTGGAATATTTTTACTTTTTCAGAAAAAAGAAAAGGGAAAACTTTTTTTTTATGATACCTTAATTTCCTCGAGCCACTGATTGGCTGCCTCTACCACGCTGGCACAGGATCCCACTATATGATTGGTTCAACTATTTCTAGGACTATTTTTCTCTGCCACTTGGGGAAACCCATATCACAATGGTTAATACCTTCAGCCCCATTGAAATATCCACCTCGATGAACCCACATAAGACTCAAACATGAAATAACTCATATATGACACAAACTTTTAAAAATCCAAAATGAATAGATTAAATATAATACTATTATTATTATTATATTATTTTCAGTCTTTTCTGTCTGAAAGTCTGTGAACATCACAGCCGTCCATTTCAGCTTCTGCTACAGCAGCAGCAGCAATAGTTTTACGCTTCCCATTGCATGGAAGAAGCCAAATACTCAGAACTCTCTCATTGGCTACCTTAATTGTCGTACGTTGTCTCTGCCACCATTTACCTCACTCACTTCAATCTTTAATTTTTTTGTTCCCTCTCTCTCTCTCTTCCTCATTCAGCCTAGGAGACTCTTTTCTTTCTTTTTCTGAGAGCATTACTTTCATAAATATATGTATGCAAGATATTGAGCAAACGCAAATCCCAGTAACAGTGGTGAAAAATCATGATAAGCCAGTTGAGTCACTCTTATTGGCTCATTACTTTCTTTCACTGTCTTTTGCTGTTCTCAAGCTATGCAATGTAAAAGAATTTTTACTCTTTGAATAAATAGGAGAGAAGGGGAAACAAGGGAAAGGAAGAAATTTTTCCCAGAGAGGGGTGTTCCACTATAGAAGATAAAACTTAGGGTTCAGATGGAAGAGGGAAAGAGAACCCAGAATGGGAATCATGACATAAACTCTTTTGTCAGAGGTCAAGAACTGAAAAATCATGTGTGACGTGACCAAAGATTCTTTCAACCAAGACAAATCCTAGACTAGTCCTTCAAACCCTAACCGGATTCACCCAACCTCGTTTCCTAAAAGGGGGGGAAAATCAACCAAAAAATTTTTGAACTTTGAGACCATTTTGACTATTTGGGAATTCTTATTGGCTGAAAAGAAAAGAGGGTCTAAAGTTTTATTTTCACTTGATTAAGGGTAATCATCGAAATCATGTTTTTCTAATAAAACCCTAATTAGGGTTATGTTTGACCTAGGCTGAGATCTTGCACGTGGGTGCAAGTGAGATTTTGGGAAAACCTCGGATCAAGTATTTGGATTGGAAAATCTTAATCTGGGTGTGACCTTTTGTTAGCTGATTTGGTCGCAATGGATTAAGAAAAGAGATTTTCTGCATAATCTTCTATAAACCAGTGTTGGGCTTTTACAAACCCTAAAAATCCTTTTTTTTTTCTTTTCTCTCCTTTCTTGTTTATTTATTTCAATTTGACATATTGCCAAATTTCTTGAAATTGTACTGTGCTTTGTTGATGTCTAACTGACATGTTATTAAGGAAGTGTCAAGGAGATGGAAAGGATTGGGCTAATTGAAGCATGACAGCTTTTGCTTTAGGCCTTCTTAGCTTAGCCTCATAGATGTGTGTAAGAGAGAGAAGGTGAGAATAATGGAAGGGGAAAGAGGAAAAAGGAAACAGAAAATTAACAAGAATGGAGAGGGAGTTAGGGGAAGTGGCTGATCTCACAGACCTGCATAACTTCCCAAATCCTTACCTGTTGCTACTTACAACCATAGTGCTTCTATTTCTATCTATTGCACCAGATCTATGTATCCAACAAACCAAAAACTAGGAAAATTATCATAAGCAGAAAAGAAAAGGAAGAGAAAGAACACAAAAGCTCATAGAAGGAAAAGGCCAAAATAGAAGTAAAGAAAGACAAGTGATCCTTGGTCACAGAAAACAGAGATAAAAAGAGGAAAAACTCTATCTTAACTGCATCACAAAAATGATTATGTTCTTTGTGCTCAAATCCTTCAAAAGATCTATTTTCAGAAGCAAAAAATCTAAACCCCAAGTTCCCAAAAAGAAACCAAAATGATAATTTCTAACTTAACAAAAGAAAAATAAAGCTCAAAAGGGCTTCTGAGAAGTTAGAAAAATGATGAAAATTGTTTATGAAGAACACCAAAAGCTTGAAAATACTTGATTATTGCAAAAGAAGATACCTGTTATTAGCATATTCATAGAGACGGCCACGGCTAGAGAAGACAATTAGAGCAACCTCTGCATCACAAAGCACAGATAATTCATATGCCTTCTTGAGTAAGCCATTTCTGCGCTTGCAGAAGGTGACTTGGCGATTGGTGGTGTTCTCAATCCGCTTGATCTCAATCTTCCCCCTTCCCATCTTCCTCTGTGGAGAAACTGACATGGATGGATTTGGAAAAGCCATAGCTGCAAGCTGAATCAAGAGAAAGATAATCAGTATTTTAACTCTCACAGTAAGGAGTATGTTATATAAATGTATATATCCAAGTAAAAAACAGAAACAAATTCTTGTCTTTCAGCTAGTTTAATTTGTCTGATTAGGGAGAATATGAAAAGAGAAACAAAAGAGAAATGGAAACTTTTGGAATCTCAGGATTCTCATTACAGACTCTTCACTCCTCCCAGCCAAACATTCACATCATTAGCTTCAAATTTTGATTTGAGTTAGTATTATATTGTGCAATCTAGCGAGGCTTGTGTTGCCAAATCTGGGTTTGAAGTGAAAAAGTTTGATTGACCCAAAAGAGTTGAAGCACTGAGGATGGATTTCAAATAATGTTTCAGTATTTTGCAAACTAACCTGGTGAGGAAACAAAAGGAGAATATAATTAAGGACACAATAGATGTTTCAGCCCTTGAGTTTTTCTTTTCTTTTCTTTTCTTTCCTTCTTCTATTCCACTTATCTGAACAGGAAGGAGATATCAGAAAATAAAAGCATAGTGGCCAAAGAATTGGGTATTTATAAAGTGAAAAAAAACGACCTTTCATCCATCATGGTTTATGCATCAGAAACTATACTTATCTGCCATCTCTATTTTATTTACTTTTCTTTGTCTTTTACTTTTCTCTTCTTTTTTTCCTCTACCCCCACTTGTTTAGTGACTTTATGTTTGAGATGAATCAAATAAGCAGGATAAAGCTGGAATATCATTTAGAATTAAGCTTCATTTACTCTTAAAAAAATTAATGTTACATTTAGAACATTAGAAAAAAAATTCACAAGTGAAAGTAGGGCATATGAGAGAGAGACAGAGACGAAGTTCTGAAAACGATATTAATGGGGTGAAAAGGACATTGGGCTAAGTTGTAGACATCCCCCAAGCAAATGGAAGTGATCGGAGAGCTTGCGTGGATCTCATTAAAATTGGTCCACAGGTACACCATCAAGCCCATGTCATTGATATAATAATTAAATAATTCAATGAATGAGATTGGTTTTCTCTAATTTGTTGGGAAATCATTTAACACAGAGAAGGCTTGGCACAGCCAATGAATAATTTGGTTATATAAATATATTTAATAAAAAATATGTTAAATAAGATTTATTGTTATTATTATACATATGAAAAATGTTTTGTTAATAAACGGTATACCTATTTCAAAAACCGTTTAACTTGCATATGTAAGGAGTTGACCTCCCGTTATTAGTTGAAAATATACTCTTAGTGTGTATAAAAAATAATAATCAACAATTTTTCTTTGTTCCTAATTTGCATATCCCTGTTTCATGCAAAATAATAATAATAATAATTTTGTAGTATTTCTTTTTTCTTTTTCCAATGCTCTATGTCATGTTATTTTAGTGGTGAGATCCTAAGATTGTGTTTGGATAAAGTATTTTAAAATGACTACAATTCATGCATTTAGATAGCAAAAAAATATTTTAAAATATCACAGAATTTTAATTAGATCATTTTTATATTAAATAATTTTTTTAACCGACTTGTGTTTTAAAAAGTAATTTTTTTATTATGCTTAACATTTTATTTTGTCATTCATAATTTCTTTCATATTTGATTTTTACTCTGAACATTTATTATTATTCTTTTACATTTTTTTAAAATTTTAAAATTCTACGTTCAAACACATCTTAAATGATTTGGAAATTCAAGAAAAGAATTATTACAATAACAATGTATACATAAACTTAAACTTATTATTCACATTTTACTTAATTATGATTTCCTGCAAAACAATTTTTTTGACAAACTAGTAACACATGAATATTATTATAATACGTTATTACCAATGAAAATCAACAAAAATGGTTTTAATTATAGTATATAACTTCAATTTAATAATAATAGTAAAAATTTAATAAAATAATAACCAAAAATAATTATTATATTATTTATTTTTATTTAACTAAGTTTGATGGTAAGACATAAAACTTTTTAAATAATCTGAAATTTAACCGTTTTAATTAAACAAGCTCTTAAAATATCTTAACCTAACTCGTTTAACAAATAGACTTGACCTAGACTAATATGAGCTAAAATGTAACATTAGCCCTAATAAATAATCTCGCATATTTCCATCTAACCATACATTTACCTTAGGCCACAGGAATTTAATTTATCATAAGAAGCTTACTTGTTTAGTAAATATTAAGCATAAATCATAGGTATTTATTGAATGAATGGCCTATCTAACGGGCTCAGCGTTCATGGTCCGCCACTCAATCTTATGTGTACCTTCAATGGCCTTGTATTAAGTTAAAGAGGATTTAAACATTGATTTAATATAATACAAGTCATAAAATTAAATCAAATAAAAAAAATTGCGTTCCAAAGAAAAAATGAATCTAGTGAGTGATCTTCGAGAAGAGAAGGAAGAATGATATAGGAAAGAGTCTTAATTACTTAGTTATTGTTATAATGAATGCATGAAACTAGATACTTTCTTAATTAACTTGAAGTCTAGTGAATAAAAGATGTTTTTGAAACATGCCTAGAGGACTTTCATCCCCAAAGAGAGAGAGCCTGAAGACAGTCCAGTAAGTGTAACTATGAGGCCACTATTCCTAACCTAACAAAGGAATAGAGTAAATCTATATCTATTATCATACTACTTATATGTTGCTATACTAATTTGTTCTCTTCATTTTTCTTTATTATTTAAATTATATCTTGTTATTTTAATACTTATTTATAAGTTTATTATTCACAAATTTTCTTTTATTTCTTGTTTATTTTTATTCTATAATGTTTATGTTTTATATTAAAAAATATTTTTTTAAGTACAAGAGATACAATAAGATAAGATATCATTTATTTATTAGCACTTAGAAACGTTAATTGTAAAATGCTTACGAGTAAGATTTGGGGGACGGAAGAAACAATTGTGTAATTGGAGGATAAAATGGAGAAGGGTTTTCTTGTCTTCTGATGAGCATCTTCTTAAAGAAGTAAAGTGAAGAGGTAACTGATGAGTGAACTTGGATCTTTGATAACTATAGTGAGAACTACATGTTCAAATCAGCGAATGAGTTGCCACAAAATCATTCATGTGATGTGCAAGTGAATTGATCTTTTGCTCTTCAAAAGTATTTGGAAGTGTTTTGCTCCTCTGAAGGCATTAATTGTTTCTTGGCATTTGGCAAGTAAAACAGCAACGTGACAACACATTCAATTTGCTCAGAAGAAATGCTGCCTTATTTTAACATGGAGCTGAGTGTATATATGATTTATGTCATTCTATAATTAAGAGATATTGCATACCTATTTTCCATATGTAAGTTGTTCTCTCTAGTCTAAGGACATTATATCAAACCCAAATACATTATTCTTCCCTTATTATGTATGTAGTTCAAACTAGATCTTGATTTTGTTCTCTTTGCCCTGAAGAAGTTCAAGTTAGGCTGAGTTTATTGGTGTATTTTTCTCCTTAAATATATTAAGCAGTGATGTTAGTTTTAAATTGGAAAATTTCAAACTACTCTATGTGATTAATGTATTATGACTAAAGATCTTTTTTGTACTCTGCTATTAATAATTTGTATGTCAAAACTTATTGCATGTATTTTAAAATTATGAAAAAGAAAAACAGAAACCAATCAAATTTAAAACATTTAATGTAGGATTAGTTTTTAAAAATAAAAAATGACTTGCATAATGGCCTATTGCCAACCAATCCGAACTTCAGGATAAACAAACACTATCAACATCAATCATCTTAGTCACAAACATTACCATAAGCTACCTCTCTTTCAGTTGGAATCCCTTTCAATCAAGTTATCCACTCACCCATGACCAAAATTTTTAAATGCTTTTGCAAATCGATGCGAAATGTCGCAATAAGAATTGATGATGTCCCAAAATTAAGCGACGATTCTAGCCATGTTTATGTTTATCATCGCTGTAACCACATTTTCTATCGACAAACGTGATGATCTTCATGGCTAATGGAGGGACATGGTACGGTGACTGAGGCTAGCAGTGGCGGGCTCTAGAAGATTTATGGCTTGTCATGGAGATAGGATGAGTTATAGAGAAGGCTATGGAGTTCAATTGCATGGGTAATGATTGTTATTTTTTATTGTTGATGGAATTAGGGATTTATTCTCAAATAACTTGAATAACTTTTTATCTTAATAAATAATATTTGTCAAATTAGTTTTTAAAATTGTTAATATTTATTCCTTAACATGCATGCATTTTAAAGGGGTAAAAAATTTGTCCTTATCAAAAGTAATTAAGATGTAAAGAAAAGAACATGTATTAAAATGTTACCGTTTGGTTTTTATTCAAAGTCTAAAGAATAAAAGATTAAAATTGTAATTTTATTTTAATTTTTAACATATTTATTTACTTTTTATCAAATAATACTTTTTAAATTAAATATATTTACTAGTCAATCCTTCATATTGTATTTATTGATTTGTGATAAAGTGATATTTAATTTGTTTTCAAATAAATTTCAATAATAACCATTTTATGGACCATTTTACCAAACCAAACTTCAACAACTTAACATTTCAACAGGTAGAATTAACATGTAATTATTATTTCTAACCATCCATACCAAATCAAATGGCTCGTAATTTACCTATGTTTCATTTTTCGATGGATGCACCTTCCGCAATATACTATAATTGAGAGCAACCTATTTTCCTTCTCTGTAATTTTGTAAATGTAAAAGGGTATGATTATTTATTTTGTTAAAATTAGCTAGCTTTTGTGTATACGTAGTTTTGATTTGACTTCCGTTGACAATAAATTGGAAAAAAGTAGAGGGAGATGATTTTTCTTTTATTTTCCTTTTCGGGTATGCTACATACGCTTCATACAATTCGCATTCTTCCATTATTGTATTAACTTTTCATACAAACTGACAATAATAAACAATGCGGTTTTGTTCTTTTTAAGTCCTTTCTGAAGGTTTTAATTATAATATTTTTACAA